TATTTCCACTTTCTCCCCGTGACTCCCCGTGTGATAACGTCCTATGTATGGTTGTGAAAGCTGGATGGTGAAGAAAGTGGATAGGAAGAAAATCAACTCTTTTGAAATGTGGTGCTGGAGAAGAGTTCTATGGATGTCATGGACTGCTAAAAAGATAAATAAATCAGTCCTAGAGTAAATCAACCCTGAACTCTCCCTAGAAGCCAAATGATTAAATTGAGACTGTCATATTTTGGCCATATCATGAGAAGAAAGGACTCACTAGAAAAGACAATAATGCTTGGAAAAGTTGAAGGCAATAGGAAAAGAGGAAGACTGTACACTATATGGATGGAATTAATCAGAAAAGCCACAGCCAGGAATTATAGTTGAGGATAGGGGGACTTGGAGGTCTCTCATTCATAGGGTTACCATAGGTTGAAGTTGACTTGAAGGCAGCTAAAAACAACAAAAAGTTAAACGCGTTAAATGCAAGACATAAGGCTGGTGTGATAATGTCCTTAGTTCCTTTTCAACCCAAATATTGAAAAATTGGCTTATTCTGGTAAATTCTTTTCTTTTCTTTTCTTTTAAAGAGCTAAAATGAACATAGCACCCAGCCTTGCAAGCCAACCATTTTGTCCTTGTGGCAGATCTGGGAGCCAATTGCCCACCCTTGGAAGCTTCTGGTTGGAGGGCACATGGGCTGCCAAAAAAACCAAAGAAAAACCAGAAGTGGTTCCCTGAAGGTCTCTTCTGGTTTCCAAAAAAAAAAAAAAAAAAAAAGAAAAAAAATGAAAAATGAAAAATGGGTATTGTTTCATGTTAAACATTGCAGAAAGGCTTTGTAATGTATTTCTAAAGTGAATTACCTTTCCTGGACGTTTACAGGAAAGGCAGTTCACCTTTGTAGTGGGTCAGGAAAAGATTATTTTTCAGGATGGGTAAAGAGCTTGCAAAGATAGCCTTCAAGGGCATGTTTTACCCACCCCAATCTATATTCTATATTCAATTAATATTCTATATTCAAAAGACTACAAGCATGGAATGTTTTAGCTCATCTAGCTGAAAAATAAATATTTTCTAGTTAAGCCCTGAGATTTCATGCTGTTTCTCCTCCCCACTTCAATAACCAGCCTTGGAAATACTGTTTTCCCTCCTCATCTCTGGTTAAAACAGCTTCCATGCCTCCCTGTCAGTTAGTCACTTAAAAATGCCCATGGGGGGGGGGGAAATTATCCTTTTTCATGGCACAATTCCACCACTTTTGTGGACATCCTTGGGGGGAATGCTTTAGAAATATGTTCTCTTCTTCCTGCCCTAGATCTCATGCCCTCAATAGTTTTTCAAACAAAGGGGGGGGGGTTGAGAAGTCAACACGAAAACAAGGAGAGAGATGGATGGTAATAGCTTTACAGATCAATATACAGATAACATTTTCATCACCTCATCTTTCTCTATGGCTTTACACTTTAAGATAACCCCCATAAATTGAATCAGAGATGGTTTGTAATTCACAACCACTGCCTGGAACATCCAGTCATGAAAAGGAAAGAAGGTGGAATGCCAATGTTAGGTTCAGGAACTTGGATTTAATGTGCAAACTCATTTAAAGTTTGCACATTATCCACCCTACAGACATGGATGCCACCAGCTGCCCCAGGGAGGGCTTCACCCACCATGAGATTAAGCACAGCAAAGAGGATTAGTAGTTTGGAGATGGATGTTCTTTGAGGTCCAACTCAGTTTGGAACTAGAATGTGCCAATTCCATTTTGCCAGATTACAAATGTTACATAAAAAGAGCCTTACGGGTAGTTAGACCAAAGGACAAGCTAGTCCAGGACTCTCTTGTCCATAGTGGCCAACAGATGCAGTAGAAAGAACACAGCCAGGTCTTTTTTATGAAGGAATTTCTCAGAGTTTTGACTGAAGACAGAACTCAAATCTTGGCCTAGCAATGACTCTTCGGTTGAAATAGTACAATTGATCTTAGATCTTGGTTGACCGTAGTATATGGTCTACCATAGACTAGACCAAGGTCTTGGTCTACCTCTACCATAAATACCATCTAAAAACAAAACTCTACACATAACCAGGAAGGATTTTTTTCTACCCACACTGTCTCTGGATGGTAGATGGTCCTTTCTCTGTCTTTTCAAATTCCCTATGACACATACTCCCTTTCTTGCTCTCCACTAGCTGGAATTCAGTATCATACAAACTCTGAGCCAGGAACTTCTGTAGAGACATGAATGGAACCAAAGCTGGGATACTGAGAAAGAAGAAGTTATCAGCAGACTCAGAGATTAGGTTGTCAAGACCTGTTCACAGGACAGAATTATAGCTCCTGTGTTTGCACTCTATGGAATCCTGGGGTTTGTAGTTTGGTAAGGCACTGGAGCGCACAGGCTGAGAATTCAAAATGCCCCCTCCCTAGACCCTCTTGGCAAGTTTGGTTCAGAGTGGGTTTGCCATTGCCATTCCAAAAGACTGTAACTCACCAGACGGACTTGCCAGAACACTAAGACTTTCAGGGGAAGGCTTTCTCTTGGTCCCACCACCATCACATGCTCACTTGGTGAGGACATGCAAGAGAGCCTTCTCAGTGACTCCTCCTGACCTCTCGAACTCCCTTCCATCAGAGGCTAGGATGGCCTCCTCCCTGCTTTCCTTTTGCCATTTGACAAAAACCTTTTTGTTTAAGTAGGCTTTTCCCCTCCAAATTCATTTATCACGCACATCCAAACAATGTCCCAGGGAGGATTTTTTTCAAATGGGGGTGCCTGTTTTGTTTATTAACTTTTGTATGTTTTAAAATAATTTCATGTGGTTTCAATTGTGATAATTTTAAGTGTGTATTTTTTTAAAAAAAATTGCATTGGTAGATTTTTTTTTTTAACCATAACATAAACATACATTAGAACAATACAATACATTACAATACGATACTTTACACTTACAATACACGTACACATACAACTACAGTTAAACCAACATCACTCCAAATTAAAATGAAATGCACTGGTAGATTTTAATTGACTTCCTTCTGTGTGCCACTTTGCATCCGACTGTGGGAAAAAGGTGGCATGTAAACAAAAATAAATAAATAAATAAATAAATAAATAAATAAATAAATAAATAAATTTCTTTGAGGCTGAGATAATGGGACTTGCCAAGGTCACCTAGAGGGTTTCCATGACTGAGCAGGGATTTGAACCCTGGTTTCCTAGAGTGGTAGTCCAACATTCAATCCACTACATCACCCTGCCTCTGAAAGGTACTAAACTAAACTTTTGATTAGAATTGTTCGCATTCAGTCCTGCAATCCATGACAGGGAAAACATTCTCCTTCTTCTTTCTAGCAGAACACCCCACCCTCTGGTACAAAATGTTGTCCTGAGATTCTGCAGAAGGTATCTGAAAACCAGCAAAATGTGATAAACAACTTCAGGGGCAGGGAAGCTGAGTGAAACACAACCTGGTTGAGCTCTAGTGCCTGTTAAGTTGCTAGAGGTGGATGAACAAAGCAGGTGGGGAGGAGTATTTATATCTGAAACGGGTAGGAATTCTCTCTGGAAACAAGGGGGGGAGAAGAAAGCAGTAATCAAATGACCTTTTGAATAAATCAAGAGCTACCAGGCAGTGCATTGCTGCTCCTGTTTCTTAATAAATGCTGTATCTGTGCCCCTCTCCTCTACCCCCTCCACCTTTGCTGTGATATAATTAACAAGGATGAATTGTTATTACATGAAAAATGGATTGTGCTGCACTTGCTTTCCATAATAAATGGGATTGTCACACTTTCTTCCCAATGAGAGATACAGGCCCTGACTTGTAAAACAGATGGAGTTAAGATGTGGTTGAGAGTAGTGAGGAGGGCTGCCTTAGACTGTGTGAAAAGAGCAAGGAGGAGACTTTCTTGCTGCTAAATATTCACAGCTGGTGGCCATTCCCTGTGAACTGTGATAGTTACATACCCTCCATATCACAGTTACATATACTGTAACTGTGATACATATCACAGTTGAATATCGGGACACATGTGGCCAAGCAAAGGTGTGGTCAAGATGACAAAAATTATCAACGAGGAAGAACAGACAAGCAGGTTACAGCAGTTTATGTCATAGATCTTAGTGGTTAAAGCATCATGGATCTTTGGCGCTGTAAGCCCTGGATCTGCTATGCCACTGTCCTAGAGCAAAGGTGAGAATTGTGCCATCTTGAACATGTTGAACTGCAGTTTCCAGCATTCCTCCCCATTGGCTAAGCTGGCCCCAGCTGATGGGAGCTGAAGTCCATCAGCATTCAGGATATCCATGCCTGTTTTGGGACTTTCCTTTGCAATATCTTTTAAGAAAATGAGAAGAAGATCCTGCTGCATCAGACCAAAGACTTATAAAATCCAAACACCTTTGTGTTCCCTACAGTGTAAGGCAGGGGTAGGCAACCTTTCCCCTTTAAGGGCCAAGGGACTTCAGCTCCCAGAAGCCTCAGCCATGTTGGCCAATAGTCCCATGTTGGCCAATAGCTCCTGGGATTCTGGGACCTGAAGTTCCTTGGCCCTTAAAGGGGAAAGGTTGCCTACCCCTGGTGTAAGGACTAGATGCCTTTAGACAGGGTTGGTTCTCCTGTGGGGTGAATTCCACACACCCCAGATAGCAGACTGGGAGAGGGGTGAGTTATACCTCTCTACTGTAATGCCAAGAAACTCCACTGGACCTTTGCCCCCTTCAAGCAGCCAGTGTGTGGTCCTCTGGAGCAGACATCAGGACAGCGTGTCCAGAGGAGGGTCCCCAAAATGGTGTGATTTTTAACATTTTTGCCTGATGGAGAAGCCAGTTGAGCTTTGAAAGGTTGCAACATGTGTTTTGTGCATTTTAGTTGGCCAATAAAGGTATCACTGTTTTGTGGCAAAGTCATGGAGGTTTCTGAAGACAAAGAATGAATTTCATGACATAAGATGTTCAAGATTCATTTTACTTTCCTCTCAGAATATCATTACAAAAACCTGGTACACCATCTGTTTCCCTGCAGATTTGTTGAACTGACAGATCTCTGACTGGGAATAATGACGATTGTAGTCTAGAACCTCTGGAAAACATCATCTCCAGGTAGCCTGTTGTAAACAGTAGTAACATTTGTTGTTTTATTACAGCTGGGTGATTTTACCACTCCAAAGGGTACACATGATAACCTGGAATACTGTCTGTGACCTGTTGACATCTGTATTTGGACAATAAAAATATATGGGTCACTTGAGTGCCTTCTTTTATTGCAACTGCAGCAGCATTTCAGAGATAACAACCAACTTTAAGCAGTTGTGAGCTCAGCTTTGTCTCTGGTGCTCAGTGAAGCAGACTTGGATCTATGAAAGGCCAAGCAAGATAGTCTCTATGGAGCCATGCATCCAGTTACTTTTGAATTACCCTGGAATGATGCTTCAAGTGTTACAATAAAAAAAGAAAAGAGGAAATACAAGTTATCCAACACTCTTTGCATTCCAACATCTTCTTTGCTCTGGAATTGAAGGCAAATGGACAACCCCTTTTAATAACTGGCAGAGCTCAGGAAATGTCTCCGTTTATTATTTTTCTCACTAGAACATCCAGAAGGGTCAAGCTAAAATGGCTTCTAACCACACTGGCTGTGGGATTTCTGGAACTGGTAGTTCAAAAAACAAAAGCAACTTCACCAAGCTCTACCATTTGGTAACTGACTAAGGGTGAATGCAAAAGTGGGCTGCAGGGGCCTCTACCTCTTGTAGACCACTGCAGAATAGCTCTGCCAACTCAGTTCAAACCACAAGATGGTGAAGAGCAAGGTCTGAAAAATAGTTCTATTGCCTTTGCTTGAATGTGGTAGAACTCTACATGCAGTTGGCAAGGTCCCCGATTGCATGTCTAGTAGTTGTTGTTACCTGCCCTTGAGTTGGCTTCAATTCATGGTGACCCCATGAATGAGATGTCTCCAAGACCCGCCTGTCTTCAACTGCTTTGTTCAGTGCCTGCAAATTCAAGAAGGCCCATGTCCTCTTTGATTGGCTTGGCTCCATCCTACAAAACCTTAGCATTTGTAGTTCAATTAGGTGTTTAGAATTCTTTGCTACAGAGCTCTGTTCTAGGGCATTCCACTAGGATACTAGTGTTTCCTAGCATAGAATTATAAATACATCACCAAACTAGAAAACCCAGGATTCTACAGGATGGAGCCATGACAGTTAACATGGTATCAGGTCATTAGAAACTGTAAAGTTTAGAAATACACTGCAGAGGTCTGGGGAGTAGGCCCCTGTATGCGTGGCAGTGGCCACAACTGTGGCAGGGGCTGGTGGACGCTGTAGCTGAAGTTGGAGGGGTGGTGATAGGCTCTTGCATCAGGCCATGGCTTTTTGCTGGCAGAAGCCAAAAGGCCCAAGGAACACAGCAAGAGTCAAGGCTGCAATAGAGACCAATGGTGTCCTGCTTTGCCCTTGGGAAGCTTGGCAAACTACCAGCCTGAAGCATCAGTATTGTAAGCTGGGAGAGGGAGAGAGAGTCCAAGCTCACCAAGGCATCTGTAGAAAAGCAGTGGTCATCTAATCCAGTCCAGATCCTTCATGGGTCAACAGTCAGTCCAGAAAAGGAGTCCAAAGGATAATCCAATAAGAATAGTCAGAGCCCAGGCAGAGTTCTAGACAACAGGCAATCAATCAAGGAACAAGGCACCAAAGTGACTTTCTCCTAAGGAAGATGGATGGTGACCAGCCACACTGGATTGAGTGAGGTGCTGGGGGGGATACACACACACACATGCAAAAGGCCCCCAAATCCAGAAACATTTGCAGGGTCTTGCTAGATTTTTCATGGACTCATCACTCTAAAGCACACTACACCCCCTTCCCCAAAAAACAGAAACAGCCCAAGAGATGAACAGAAGTGATGCATTTAATTTCCGATCATCCAAAATGTCAGCCACAATGGCCTGACTATGGCCTTGCAGTCCCCAGAGGGTGATCACCCCTTTTGTAATAAGGTTCTTTGAGTCTTTGGCATTCCTTGACCTCTCTGTAAACTGGATCACTCTAATCCTTAAACTGACAGAGTCAGGAAGGTATTGGGAGTGTGTTATTCCTCTGTGTCCGCTTACCCTTTGCTCTTGCCCCCAGCTTGAATGGCTTTTCTCTCATGTTCTCTTTCCCTGTTTTGTTTGCTCTGTTGGTTTGCTGCAGCCAGGTAAAGTGAAATATTGTCTATAATAATAATAATAATAATAATAATAATAATAATAATAATAATTGGGGGAGAAACCCAGAAATACAGTTCCCTTATGCAGAGAAAGAGAGAGAGAGAGAGAGAGAGAGAGAGAGAAGGCACACCATATCTGTGGACAGGACAATTATTTATTGCAATCTTCCATACCACAGCATTTCCCTTGCCCTGCAGTATTGTGAGAAACATTGCCAGCCAGTAAATGTTAGATGTTTTGCTCCATTTGCAGGCTTACAGCTCTCCTTGGCTTTGCCTGGCAGTCCTAAGGAAACAGAAAGGGAAGAAAAGTGCACAGGATTCTCTTCATCCCATCAAGAGCCTTACTTTGACTCCACACAACATCATGCCAGTGCCAGTTTTCAGATGTAATAACATGGCCATGTTCACAGACAGCATGTTTCTACCAGAAAGCTTCCATTTGAAGATCTAGCAAGTCTCAGTTCCATTGGAAGTTCCATCAAATAGAAAGTCCAGGATCCTTCACCAGCATTTCCCCCCTAAACAACAAACTGAGTAGCTAGTTCATCAAGACTTGTGTTCTGCAATAGAGAGAGAAGGCTATGGAAATTCTCCCTTGCCTCAAGCAAAGATCAAATAAGAAAAGGCACTACTACCACCGTCCTGATGATGCAGCTGCCTATATGCCACCTGCTCTTCATGGGCCTCATTGCAATTTCCTCACAAAGAGAAAAGATAATTCCTGAGAATATAAGCATTGTGCAACTTTGCAATTCAGCTGTATGTGATTGTAAATCAGTTTACAGTGATGTAAATACCTTATCTTTAAGTCAAATTTGGAGTGAGCAAATATACATATATACAATATTATGAACAAGGTTTACCTTGCTCATTAAAAAAAGGAGTGCTGCTAAAGATGTTAGCTGAAATCACACAACAGAGCAGCATAGCATAAATCTCCATTTGCTTTGGGAGCTTTGTGCTGCATGGCAATATTGCCAAACTGCAGCAAGACAATATGCAACCAAATGCACAACACAATGTGCACACTCAGCCATGTCCAA